CATTGAAGGTCCCATACAGAAACTTACGAATGAAACCCTTAGGCAGAGCCTCCACCAGCATTTTGTAGGTTTCTGATTTTGATAATTTAAAAAAAAGATTTGATAATTCAAAAAAATATATATTTCCGCTGAAATTTTAGCCATTAAAATTAGATACATTGAAGGTTCCATACAGAAATGTACGAATGAAATCCTTAGGCCGAGCCTCCTCCAAAAATGTGAAATTTTCAGACATTTTTTACATTCTACATGAAAAATGTTCTTTTTTCGCCTGTTGGATACACCATACCCATGCAATCTTACTCAGCGGAGCCCATAAAGGATCCAGTTCTACAAAATTTAACAATTTAAACCCACCACACCATTACATCAATGGAGATATCCACATGTAGGCATATGTGTGTGTGAATTAATTTTCACATACCAGATATAAAGTGACAACGACGAGTATCATAGACTCTCTCACTACCAACAACCATACACGACGACAACAAAAACAACAACACTAACATTGAACGTGTTTCAGTACAAAAAGCAGAGGATAAGTATGTCTATTCTTTATAATCAACCAAGCCATTTAACAATGTGTTGCATTATTAATTTCATTATAATGATGTTAGTTGAGCATATAACACCAATGTAGTTGAAGGTCAGGATGAAAAGAATACGCACACACACACACACATGCAAGCATACTTGTTCGCCAAAGATGGCTAGATGCCACACGTTTATACCCTGGCCCAAATGTCTACTTACCATTACCATTACCTTCACCGATGACAATACAATCTACTTGGCTTGATGTCACACACACACATACACACAGACTCTTACCTGTATGCTTCAGTTGAGACATGCGACATGTGTAGACATACAAACATACATATTATATACCGCTATCGGCCTGACTATGTCATGTGGTACCTGATGACGACGACGATGTCAATGTAAAAATGTATTATATCAGAAAGGTTTAAGGTTTTATATTCTCCATTGTTTAATGGCGTTTATTTTTAGGCTTTGTTTGCTCTTAAATAGATGGATAATGTTACACATTTGAATACAATGGAACGGGCACACATACACAACACATACATACACACCCATTGAAATTATTATCCAATAATGTAATGTACTTGCCATAGACAATTTTCCAGTGTGTGATAGATAGATGATTATGATGTTGGCGCTATATTGTTCTTAACAATGACAATTGTTTGATTTTGAATGGAGAACACATATTTAGGCATTACACTTTGGGCATTACAATATTTCGTTACATGCAAATGTCAAGTGAAAACTTTGTTCAATATTTGTGTACATGTTTGAAAAGTTTTGATTGATCATCGCTTTGTTTAATTAGCTTATTAGTGGGTAATATGACATTGGGGGAAAATTATTAGAAATATTTGAATTATCTAGTGATACGTTTTTCCTGTTGATCCTTTGTGAGAGCGTTTACTGAAGGCGATGGCCAAGACGTAACATATTCATGTAAATTTTGTTTAACTTTCAGAAGATTTTTGAGAAGAATTATGTAAAAACTTGCCCAATCCGCTATCTTAAAAATCCTAACATTTGGAAGTTCCGTTATGTAACGTTATATACCTTTGTTGCATATTCTTTGAGAGGAGTTAAACTACTCAAATTTTAGTTCGCAAGAAATCGACACAAAACTTTCAAAGGACTAAAATTTTTGACCTACCTAATTTGAAATGCTGAGATAGTGCCGCTATTAGGGGGCTTTTATAAAATATTTATTAATAAACCGAAAGGCCAAAACCTTCAAAATACGAAAAATCAGGTCAATCAGTTCAAAAAAGTCTCTTTATACCCTACACCACATAGTGGTAAGCGTTTTATATCTTTGTGCATTTGTTTGTAACAAGGAGAAGGAAGCGAGTTACTTTTGAGGACCTTCATAGAATCACTTTCTAGTCGATTCATGTCAGTCAGTCCGTCCGTCTATGTATTTTTGTGAACAAAATGCAGATCGCATTTATTATCAGATTGAGATGAAAATTTCAAAAAAAAGGACGAACCTTATTGAAACTGGTGAGAATAGGTTCAAATATTCAAAGAAACTACTACTTTTTGTGAACAAAATGCAGATAGCATTTATTATCCGATTGAGATGAAATTTTCCAAACAAGAACAAACCCTATTGAAACTGTTGAGAATCTGTTCCAATTTAGATATAGCTCCCATATATATCTTCAACCGATTTCAGGTTAATTGTGCACCAAATTACCAATATCAGTTCAAATGACGTGAATTTTGGCACGCCCGACCGAATTCAGTCTAGGAGCAAGTACTTCAATTTTTTTCCGATTTCCGTTTTATCTGATTTGGTGTTTAAGTCTTTCACATGGCTAAAATGCACTCCACAAGGTACCACATAGCGTATAGAGCTCAAAAATATCTCTCTGAAATCTTATCGAGATCTGATCAGATTTGGATATAGCTCCAATGTATATATTTATCTGATATCAGGTTTATTGTGCACCAAATCGCTAACATTAATCCAAATGGACTGAATTTTTGGAATACCGGCTGAATTCATCCTAGAAACAAGTGCATCAAATTTAGTGGAAATCGATTCAGATATAGCTATAGCTCCCATATATATGTTTTAGCGAATTTCGTATTTAAGTCCCTCACATGCTTAACATGCACTCCGCAAGAAAAATATTTGGTACCAAATATTAAATACAGCCCAGAAATACCAATGCCAAATGTTATCGAGCTCCCATATATCATTATCCCATATCAGGTTTATTGTACACAATTGAACTGAATCTTGCCAATTTTCTTCTGAAATAAACCATGAAACAAGTACTTTAAATTTGGTGACAAGTACTATTTACTACTTTTCGTACAATTATAGAACACATTTCTAAAACCACCTTTTTCAGACATAAACATAGACCTCAATAATAAATCTGATAATTCCTAATTTGATGATTCCTAATTTGATAATTCCTAATTTGATAATTCCTAACCCTTCACCCAAGACCAAATTTCGTACTTAGTGCTTTTCGTACATTTGTAGAACACATTTCCAGACCACCGCCAAATTTCAAATACAGATACCAACAGTAATATCAATATCAAATTTCAGAATACTTTTCGTACAATTATAGTACACATTCCCGAAACCACCTCCACATGTCCAGACTACACATAAACAGCGACCCTAATACTAACTTTCAGATTTCAAGCACTATCTGTTTACCCAATATCAAATTGTACCAAATATAGTACTAATTAGTACTTTTCGTGCACTTGTATTACACATTTCAAAAACCACCTCTTTATCACAAACCTACCACCAACAGGACTCCAACACAAATTTATACAAAATTCATACTTTGATACAATAAGGAGGTAGAGAAGCTTCGTAAAACTACAGAAATACAACCCTTAGACTATGTCCTGTCTGAAATATTTAAAAATATATGCAACAAGTGGTTTTCATTCATTTTGTGTTTTTCCTCATTTTTATAATGATTTAAATAGTGCGAAAAATGAATGAAATGCCTGAATTTTCTTTCAAAAATATAATCCAAAATGTTCGTCCTTTCAATTCCATGACAAATCTGGTTATTATCTTAAATGCGTGAACAGCAATGTACGTTTCTTCCAATCGTTAATTCTCAAAATATTTGTTTTCATTTTTCAAAACAATAATTAAATACACAAAATTGGCAAAGGTCGGGCACACTTAGGAAAAAATTGTAATCAGCTGGTAGCTCTACATTGCCCTTATTCTGTACCATGGTTCACCCTAACTGTTGAAAAATTAGTACCATTTTGTACAGTTCGCACACTTAGTACACATTTCTAAAATCGCCTTCTTGATAAATGACTTACTTTCCAACTTCTCATACGAAATTTCAAGTTTGTAGCTCTATCTTTTCACATAATACCAAATGGTACCATTTTTGAAATTTAGTACAATCTTAGAACGTTTCTAACATTAAAGATCAAATTTCCAAAAACCTATTGGTACATCTATCCTGCACTCCCTCAGTGACTCTCATTCCAAATGTCATTCTATTTGGCCAATACAAAGTATTCAATTTTTAGTACATTTTTAGTACTTTTCGTACCCATTTAGTACGTGTCCAAGCCTTATCGCATGCCTACTCACCAAGAATGGCCCTAGTGCAAAATTTCAAGATTCTTGCTTCAGGCGCTTCATGTGGGCGTTGATTCTAAGTCAGTCAGACAGTTAGTATGGGTACAGTTCTAGACTCAAATAAAATAAAATATTTATCACATTTAGATGATTTTGTATCATATATTCTGCTAGGATATATGTCAAAATCAATCAAAATCAGTTGAAATGTATGTATAGCATTCAAATATGTCTTCCATTCGTTTTCACATTTATGCCACCCCTAAAGACGTAATATGCCCTCAAGAGATATTTTGCAACGAAAGTGCTAATAAATTATCGTATAGTATTAAAAATATAACTAAAATCGTATCAGATATACTTATAAAGTACCAGTTTAGGTAAATTTTCGGGCCGAATTAATATTAGAGCTTCCTCATAGGCTCTCATAGAAGTGGTGTAAAGTCCCTTCTTTGTTGTTTCCTTATAGATAAGGAACACAAATGTCTAGAGTCTTACTTTTAAGTCGTTTCAGATATATATTTTTTTAGTTTTTCCCATTTAGCGTACGCTTTAGCCTGCCTTGTGACCGACATTTTCGAAAAATTATTATTTCTGAGCCAATCACTAACTCAATTTTCTTAATATTTTTTCTATTGTTTCATCTAAAATGAATTTTTCTTAATTAAATAAATTTGTTTAAAAGGCTAGTTTTTTTTTAAATATCCTATTCTATTAAATCTGTTTCATGTCTCATAAATTGTTTCCTGCTGACAATCGATAAAAAAAAACATTTTTCTCGAATCTCCATCTACAAAAACTTTAATCCTTATAAATGTATAACACCCCCACTCAACAATATTTTGATTCTCTATTACAGCTGATGTTATGGTCAACGATAGTCCAGTGCATTTAACACTCTGTGATACAGCCGGTCAGGATACATTAGATCCACTACGTGAACTCTGCTATCCAGATAGTGATGTATTTTTGCTATGCTTTTCGGTGGCTAAGCCAGAAACATTCCATGCCATCAAAACTAAATGGGCGCCAAAGTTTGCCAAAACAAAGGCATCGCTGATGTTGGTCGGTACCCAAGCGGATTTGCGCACAAATACCAATGTACTGAATAAATTGCAGGTAAGCTACCATGTCACCACCATCCGCATCATCATCATACACCAACAGCAACAACAACAACAGCTATTTTGTTGTTTTTATTTAAACTTAAACGGAAATGCATGAATGAAGTCCAAAGAGAGAGAATGTTATTAAATTATTATAAAGTTGATGAAAAACTATCACCACCACCACCAGTTGGATGTGAACATCATGACCTAACACATTTTTGTTTTGTTGTTGTTGGCTTATGTAGATTAAATTGTTGTTTTAATTTTCCCGTACATAAATTTAATATTTATTTTCTTTTTTTTTCTCGTTTTTTTTTTCAACTTCCTTCATCAATGCTCCGTGTGCAATGCTGAATTTTTGATTTGTTTGACTTGATGATTTTTTTTTTCATGGCTGGCTCTTCCACTTGAATAGTCTAATGGCGAACAACCAATCTCATATGCAGATGCCTGGGATTTGGCAACAACAATTGGTGCAAAATATATCGAAACTTCATCAGCAACACAGGTAAGAGCGAACTGTATTTATATAGTTTTTAATTAAATATTTAAGGGAAAGGAAGAAGCCTAAACGCTTTAAGGGAAGTTGTTTAAATTTTAGGAAAATTCGTAAAACAATTAAATTAAAATTTTTACATGGTCCGTGATATACAGGAGCGAAAAAAAATTTAAGTTAATCTTGAACTCTTCCGAAATTAACATTTTTATACACTCCACCATACCATTTGTAACGTCTCATATACACATGTCAGACCCAACAATGTGTATATATTTCAGATCAGCGTAAAATTCCAAGTCGATTTAGCTATGTCCTTCTGTCTGCCTGTTGCAATTACGCTATCATTCCAACCAATTGTGACAGAAGGCATGTTGGTCCACGTTTTCGTATAGCCTCCATAGAGAGGGTTACCGTTACCTCTCAATATTCGGTATTTTGATATTTTTATCGACATTATTCACCAAAATTGTTTCAAATTTCGATTTAAAGTTCAGAATTGTTACTACAGCCTATGACAACAATTACTTATGTAGGTCATATAGCCCCCATATAACGGTTTTCATTCAAACGGTATTTTTCAATTTTTTTTAATATCCAAGTCTCTTCTAAATGGTGGAGGGTATTAAGGGTTCGTCCCGACCGAACTTAGGTGCGTTGCTAGATGTTAAAGTTTACAGTTTATGCCCGTGAAGATAAATTGTAAAATATAAATGCAATGTGTTGGTGCGCAATGGGTTAATTGAAAAATAGTTTTTTTTAATATTAATGATTTTTACCATTTTTTTTTGGATAAATCAACGTATTTTTAAATTAATTTAAATTAAATTAACTAATTAAATTAATTTAACAGGAAAATGACACAATTTCCCGACGAGGACGAATAACCAGAGTGGTGTTGGCGGTAGGGAAACTGCATGGAAAATGCTGAATTGCACAAAAACTATGCTAGCTGCGTCATTGAGGCGGGTCTTAAATGAAAGGTCTCGAGGAGTACTTTCTGGCTATATATGCCTTATATTCCCAACTGATTTCAGATAATCGAATTTTTTCGATTTTCTAACCAAAGTGGCGTTTTCGGTAGGGAAACTCCATGGAAAATGCTGAATTGCGCAAAAACTATGCTAGCTGCGTCATTGAGGCGGGTCTTAAATGAAAGGTCTCGAGGAGTACTTTCTGGCTATATATGCCTTATATTCCCAACTGATTTCAGATAATCGAATTTTTTCGATTTTCTAACCAAAGTGGCGTTTTCGGTAGGGAAACTCCATGGAAAATGCTGAATTGCACAAAAACTATGCTAGCTGCGTCATTGAGGCGGGTCTTAAATGAAAGGTCTCGAGGAGTACTTTCTGGCTATATATGCCTTATATTCCCAACTGATTTCAGATAATCGAATTTTTTCGATTTTCTAACCAAAGTGGCGGTTTCGGTAGGGAAACTCCATGGAAAATGCTGAATTGCACAAAAACTATGCTAGCTGCGTCATTGAGGCGGGTCTTAAATGAAAGGTCTCGAGGAGTACTTTCTGGCTATATATGCCTTATATTCCCAACTGATTTCAGATAATCGAATTTTTTCGATTTTCTAACCAAAGTGGCGTTTTCGGTAGGGAAACTCCATGGAAAATGCTGAATTGCACAAAAACTATGCTAGCTGCGTCATTGAGGCGGGTCTTAAATGAAAGGTCTCGAGGAGTACTTTCTGGCTATATATGCCTTATATTCCCAACTGATTTCAGATAATCGAATTTTTTCGATTTTCTAACCAAAGTGGCGGTTTCGGTAGGGAAACTCCATGGAAACATACACAAAAACTAGTCAATTTACAATAAATTATCATACAAAAATGTTTGCGATGTGATCAGTTTTGAAGAGTTTAAATCTTTGGAAGGTACTAAACGGTTATATAATGTAATCGTAGACACAACAATAGCCATATTAATTTGTACGCATCAGTCACAAACAAAGATATACAGTACAACATGTGAAGTTGGACAAGGGCTTTTCTACAGCCAAAATGACATAGCCTTAGATATTAAAAAATATGATCAAGTTTTTATTCCCATAATATATAGGAGCCACTATACATTGGTATATTTGGATGTCACCAGACAGTATTTCTGCTACATTGATCCACTAGGAGAAAATGAATCTTACTGCAAAAAGTTGTTAAACATTTTTGAGAGAAAAACCAATGAGAAGGATTGGGAAATAAAGCTTTTTGAACATGATTTTCAGCAGGACTTATTCAACTGTGGCGTTTTTGTTTGTCAGTTCGTGCAAGCGATTATTACTAAGAATAAATTGACAGGGCTTTGTAATCCTAATCGATTCAGGGAAACAATTAAGGGCTTACTAACAACATACTCTGATGACAGTAGAGATTTCTGTCTCCATTGCGGCTTTAGTCGCAATTTAAATATTTTTTGTAACACTTGTAAGAGACCCGTATGTGAAGGGTGCTTTAAACATACATACAGCAAAAGCAATCTTACTCTGCTTAAATGCAAACTATGCGATTGATTACTTTGATACCAATTTACCATCGGAATGTGGGGTTTCGTAAGTTTGAATAGAACATAATGTCTGCAACATTTTCCTTCCCATACAGGTAGAAATATGTAATATTCTCTATCGAACCAAATATAAGCCAATACGAAAACAAAGTTAATTTTCCTTATTTTTTCTTTACCCACTTTTTTATTATAAATAATGGACAACATTGTTTTTACAAGTTTCCTACTTTGCACTTTTCATGAACATTGCTTTTGTTTTTAGATTTAAGTCTTGTATGTAATGGTGATCATATTTTTGGTAATACGTATTATATGCTTTTGTTTTGTTATATGTTTTATCATATATTTTATGTTAACAATATGAATTTCTTCTAAAATATGCATGTAAAATAAAATTCCAGGACTGATTAATTTTTTAGCTTTTTTCGTATGTTATATTTCGAAGATGAATTTGCTGTAAAAATTAAAATAAAATTAAAAAATTTATATATTTATATTTTTGCAAAAATTGAAAATAGCCAAATTTGTTTCTTCATTTTTTTAACCAATCAATTTCACCAAATTAACTCCTTCAACGGTCTATGTGCAACTTCACAAACTAAAATTTGAGTGATGTGCTTCTCTTCAAAAAAAAAAAAAACAAAAAAAAAACAATGAAACGTTATACATATTGTTTATCCAGAACGTCTTCTGTCCATTGCCTACTATAGTAGGCAATCATCAAACAAGTTCCATCTGAACGTTCAAACTTGTTCGAAATTGTGTTCGTAATGTATTCAGTGTTGCCAGCCGCTTGCCTAGGTAAGTGAGGCAGTTTTGGACTTTGCCACTGTTATGATTATTGATGCATTTTGGATCATGGATACGAGTGTAATTATTTAGATCATGACAGGGGACTAGTTTTTGTGTATGTTTCCATGGAGTTTCCCTACCGAAACCGCCACTTTGGTTAGAAAATCGAAAAAATTCGATTATCTGAAATCAGTTGGGAATATAAGGCATATATAGCCAGAAAGTACTCCTCGAGACCTTTCATTTAAGACCCGCCTCAATGACGCAGCTAGCATAGTTTTTGTGCAATTCAGCATTTTCCATGGAGTTTCCCTACCGAAAACGCCACTTTGGTTAGAAAATCGAAAAAATTCGATTATCTGAAATCAGTTGGGAATATAAGGCATATATAGCCAGAAAGTACTCCTCGAGACCTTTCATTTAAGACCCGCCTCAATGACGCAGCTAGCATAGTTTTTGTGCAATTCAGCATTTTCCATGGAGTTTCCCTACCGAAAACGCCACTTTGGTTAGAAAATCGAAAAAATTCGATTATCTGAAATCAGTTGGGAATATAAGGCATATATAGCCAGAAAGTACTCCTCGAGACCTTTCATTTAAGACCCGCCTCAATGACGCAGCTAGCATAGTTTTTGTGCAATTCAGCATTTTCCATGCAGTTTCCCTACCGCCAACACCACTCTGGTTATTCGTCCTCGTCGGGAAATTGTGTCATTTTCCTGTTAAATTAATTTAATTAGTTAATTTAATTTAAATTAATTTAAAAATACGTTGATTTATCCAAAAAAAATGGTAAAAATCATTAATATTAAAAAAAACTATTTTTCAATTAACCCATTGCGCACCAACACATTGCATTTATATTTTACAATTTATCTTCACGGGCATTACAGTTTTATAAAAATAAACTTTTCCAAGACATTATATCGTCACGAATACTCATTCAAATTTCCAAATTTCTTCATTTTAGCTCAATTTGTTCAAGTAATACCAAATTAAGTTGAAAATACCCTCTTCATATGAACTCTACTCGTTCTCATGCCAAATTAAGAAATAATTTAAGTGGTATAATTTTTATGTCTTTTTAATGTTTTTCATGTAGATTTTGTAAGATTTTTTATGACTTTTACTAAGTTTTAATTGTTCATTAAATGGCAATAGTACTTTATTTAGTACAGTAATCTTAGGAAGGATGCCAGTTGTACGTAATGCATTACATTGAATTATTTCATCAATTTTTCCTTTTTTACATTTTTAATTCGAATGTTTATATTTGAAATCTGTTTTATTCAATTTGAAATTAAAATTATTACATATAAAATTCAAAACTTAAATTTAAGTGCAAAAAATTGACCTGACGATTGTCGATTTCCATTTTTCGAATTACAAATAAAATAATTCGATTTAAAAATAGAACATAACGAGCTAATAAAATTCCAGACTTAGAAAAGGAACTCTCGAATGAATTATCATTTAAAAATTAGGAATCAGCAAATTAAGAAAGTTCGATGGATTGGACTTGTTATACCCTGCACAATGTTAAAACTTGATGTCCAAATTATATATTGGATTGGATTGGAAATTATAAATGAAGTATCGTTATATGAAGAATAAAGATATACCTTTAAGAGAAGTTAATTTACCGACAAAAAGTCCCGAAATATCAATTTGGTGCCTAAACCTTCCAAATACCGAAAATCAA